CACAGAGGTACCCTCAGCCTCGGGGGCAGAAGAAGAAACGGGTGGTGAAGTACGGGATGGGCGGCCTCATCGTTCTCTTACTCATCTGTATCGTGTGGTTCCCGCTCCTCTTCATGTCGCTCATTAAATCTGTGGCTGGAGTCGTGAACCGTCCGCTCGACATCTCTCTGACCATCACACTCGGAGGCTTCCAGGTAAACACACCTGTCCTGGCTCACCTGTATCACACTGTCAGCAGCACTGTGACCAGTGTGAGTGTTGTTGTTTCCAGCCCATCTTCACCATGAGTGCTCAGCAGAATCAGCTCAGGGATCTGACGCAGGAAGACTTCAGCTCTTTCGTCAGCTCCTACAGTTACACACCCGTAAGTTCTCCGTTCAACTCTTCAGTCTAATTTATGCTCCTTTTACGCACTGAATGGAATGTGTCCGTCTCAGATGTTCCGACCATCGCTGCATTTATACTTCTGTCCGTCCTTTTAACGCAGGGTACGGACATTAGGCTCTGTCCTTATCCGTGTTTAACGTAGAGCATAAATTAGCCTTTAGCAGTATTAGCAGTAGTATCTGCAGTTTTAGTATTACTATTAGCAGTGTTAGCAGTAATATTAGTGGTTTTAGTATTACTCCTACAGTTACACTCTTGCAGTAACTCTGTGACCTGTGTTTCCCAGAGTGCCTTGCAGTTCCTGGAGGCGTACACACGTGAGGACGTGGCGGTGGCAGAGCTGCAGGGCAGCAGTAACTCGCTGTGGACCATCAGTCCGCCCAGCAGACAGTACCTGAGCCAGGTGCTCAACCTCGACCACTTCCCCCTCACCCTGTCCTGGACGGTTCAGAGGTTTGTTCTCATGATCAATAATCAAACATCAAAACTTACTCATACCTGATAATCACTTGTGGTAGTAGAAGTACCTGGACTGTCCAGAGTTCAGCAGCTGGACGACACTGATCGTTCACTCGGTGAATAAAGTTTTTTAAAAACAGGAACCTGAGTCTGGGGGCAAAGGTGGAGCTTGCTTCAGGTAAACATGTGACTTACCTGGACAATGAGACTCGCCTGGAGCTGATCGAGCTGCTGAACGGGACCAGGACACTTCCTGTGTGAGTACGGGTGGGTGGGGGGGATCAGATGAAACGTTAAGGATGAATCAGTGAAACATTAAACAAACGTTAATTAAGAGTTGTGTGTTTGTTGTTGTCAGGGTGATACAGGAAGTGTTTCCATGTTTCATCCGAGCTCCGAGCGACTCCAATGCCAAACCAATCGAACAACTTTACGCAGGTTTGATGTTTTTTACGTTGATGAAAACAGTTGAGTCTTAGTTCATGACTTTGTTAAGAACATTGCTTTTAGAGTATTTCTTTTTTATGTTATTTGTTTATTCCTCTCCTCCAATCACATGGCTTCTCTTTTCTCATGTCCAATCAGATAACCGCTACAAGGACATCTTGTTGGCTCTGGAGAGGTCGACTAATCAGAGTAGAGAGATCCAGGAGTGGTGGATCGTCGACCAACCGGCTGCCAGCTTAGTGCCAGTTCAGGGCGGGGCTTCCCTGAAGGACAAGAGGGAGGCGGGGCTCCAGCTGTTTGTATTCAGTGATAAAGTCAGTCCTCCGAGTCTCGGCTTCTTGGCTGGATATGGGTAACTATTATCTCCGAGTACAGTACTTCTGAAGTAATAGATTACTATCACCATATGGTCACCATAGTCACAGAGTACTATTCCTTCCTGCAGTAATCATTACTATAGTCACTGAAGAAACAGAAGTAGGGACGGTAAGAGTAGGGAAGTAAAAATAAAAGGTAAAGAAACAAACCTCCCCCCTCTCTTCCCTCTGCCCCGCAGCATCATGGGATTGTATGCGTCAGTGGTTCTGGTGATCGGGAAGTTCGTCAGAGAATTCTTCAGCGGGATCAGTCACTCGATCATGTTCGAGGAGCTGCCCTGTGTCGACCGCATCCTCAAACTCTGCACCGACATCTTCCTGGTACCACATTCCTATAATCAGATGACTTTTATAACCAGACTCTTCTCATTAGTTCATGGAATCAGTTTCACTATCAATCTCTTTCAGCTGGTTTTATAATCTGATTCGATGTTGTGTCTTAATGTGATGCTTGAATCTGATTGGCTGACAAGCTGCAATGTGATTGGCTCTTTCAGGTGAGAGAGACAGGTGAGCTGGAGCTGGAGGAGGAGCTTTACGCCAAACTGATCTTCTTGTATCGATCACCTGAGACTTTGATCAAATGGACACGGCGATGACATCATCAGCGGACTCAACGTGTGGTTCCTTCAACATTCTTTAAACGTTACTGAAGGAACCTTCGGGGATCATTCACCAGATGTTCTCCAGATGTTCCCCAGACGTTACTGCAAAGGCCAAAGGAACCATCAGACTGGAACTCAAACAGAATCAATAGAAATTTGTTGAAAGGTTCAGCTTTGAGAGAACTCACCTATTAGCCAGGTGACCAAAAGGAACAGCTGAGAGGCGGAGCTAAGGCTGACAACGACCTTCTGATGAATCTAAACTCTGGACATCACACAGCAGGCAGTGTTATCACAGTATTAATTATTGATTATGAATAACTGCAGGGAACCTTCACCTCCTGGAGAACCTGGAATCATTAATGTGACTTTGAAGTCGTAGAAAACGACACATAAAACAAAATGTTATGGAAAATAACGAGACTGAAACTGATCAAAAGAAACCGAGAGAATCCAGAACTTTGAAAGATGTCATGTGAGGAGTCGTGTTTACAGGAAGGGGTGGATTCAAATATAATGATCGATATATAAAAGTACAGATTAATACTCAAACACTGTAATATCTAAATATTTATATATCGATATGAAGTGTTGTTTTGAGTGTTGATAATCTATGTGAGGTCGACTCTAGATCTACGTCAGATCTACATAAGTCGTACCATTGGCTCTGTATCGTCAGTAAATGAGTTCGATGTTTGATTCCTCATATCGTTGGTTCGTGTTAGCAGCTTGTTAAAAAACAAACATAAATCCAGGACCCAATCGAAACAATGAGGGTGTAAGTCGTCCCACCCCCACAGGTCAGGGAGCTGTAACTGTGAACACGCCCACCAATCACAAGGGAGTTAGTGAAAACAGCTGTTCACATACAACAACACTGGAATCACACACAGTGAATATTTATTCCACGTCGCCTCCTAGTGACAGAAAACTGGAAGTGAGTCTGACTGACGTCAAATTAGTAAATAGTTTTACAGTGAAGGTGTTAACCGATGATGTCACTGTCACCTGACTGATATTTACCTGTAAACTCAGTGTCCTGAAAAAAAGATGATGTGAAAATAAAGGATTGTTTAC